TTTTTTTTTTTTTGGTACTGGGGATCGAACTCAGGACCTTGCACTTGTGAGGCAGGGGGCAGAACCACTGAGGTAAATCCCTAGCCCCTTTTTTCATTTTTTGAGACAGCCTCGCTGTGTAGTTCAGGCTAGCCTCAAACTCACTATGTAGCCCAGACTGACCTCGAGCTCGGGGCAATCCTACTGCCTCAGCCTCCTGAGTGCTGGGATTAGTAGTTTTTCTTTTTAATGGATACTTTCTGTCTCTAAGTCTAGATTTGTTTTTGACAAAACGAAGTACAAGGGGCAGATGAAGCAATATATGCCAGTAATCATAGCTGCTTGGGAAGCTGAGGCAGAAGAATAGCAAGTCTGAGGCCAGCCTGAGCAATTTAGCAAGACCCTCTCTCAAAGTAAAAAATAAAAGGGCTGGTATGTAGCTCAGTGGTAAAATGTTTCTGAGTTCAATATCCATCCAGTACCACAAAAAAATAAAAGAAATTTTAAAAATTAAAGCACACACACACACACAGTAAGCACAAGGTACTGAGTCTCTTTCTCATTATGGGATATAGTCTCCCAAGGAACCTAAAATCAGACGATATAATCCATACTTTTTACAAATGATGTTTGTGAGGTCCAAAGATGTTAAGTACCTTTCCAAAGTTTACACTGCCAGAAAAAGAAAAGAGCTAGATTTTTCTTCCCCTAGTACTGGAGATTGAAACTAGGGCTTTGAGGATTCTAGGCAGGTTTCCATGGGTGAGTTACTTCCCTAGTCCTTTTTATTTTATTTTTTGAGTCAGTCTCACTGAGTTGCCCAGCATGGCCTTCAATTTACAATTCCCCTGCCTCAGCCTCCTGTATGGCTGGGATTATAGGTGTGTACCACTATACCTGTCCTCAAGTACAGTGAATTTTTTTTTTAAGGTTAAGTCTTCAGATTCCAGACTCATGCCAGCTTTTCCTCAACAAATGTTCTCATCACAAACCACTGGAGAACATAATTAAAGTTAGAAAATTAGCTAAGAGCAGGAAAAAAGTCCAATTAAAAAAAAAAATAAGCAGGGGCCAGGGATTTAGCTAGTGGCACCACGCCTGCCTTGCAAGCACAAGGTCCCAAATTTAATCACTGGTACCACAATTTAAAAAAAAAAAAGCAGAACAGAAATTCAGACCATGGGAAACTTACCAGTAAACACAGGAAAGGATATTCTGTCTCAATGGTAATTTTTGCTCTTGATCTTAGCCAAAAGGCTGAGAAATGATCAATAGTAATTACAATAGTAATTTTTTGTTTAGATTGGAAAAGATGTAAAAGATTGATAGTGAGTGAAATGGGTAATCCACTAAAGTTAACAAAAGTATCAGTTGGCTCAATCATGGATAGTTTGGTAATACCTTTTGTCTTAAAAATATTTCACTTATAGAAATTACATATTTAATTAAGCCAGTGTCCAAACATTGTTCATAAATAGCAAAAAAGTAAAAATAATCTGAGTACCCATCCATAATAACAGTAATAAATAATAGTAATTGCTAATATTTATTCAGTGTTTACATTGAGTGGTACTGTTCTGTGCAGTTTGTATGTGGGGTTTTTTTTTGTTTTTTGGGGTTTTTTGGTACTGGGGATCAAATTCAGGACCTTGCACTTGTCAAGGAGGTGCTATGCCACTGAGCTACACCCCCAGCCCTTTTTGTTTTAATTAATTAATTTTTAAAAATTATTTTTGCAGCGCTTAGGATTGAACACAGGGCCTTCACACTGAACTACATCCTAGCCTTTTATTTTTTATTTTGAGACAGGGTCTCTCTAAGTTGCTTATTTATTTGTTTATTTATTTTGTGGCTCTGGGAATCAAACCCCAGGGCCTTGTGTATGTTAAACACACACTCTACCACTAAGCCCAACCCAACCCCCTACATCTTTTATCTTGTAAAATTTTTACAACAATTATGTGACACAGGGCCAGGTATACCAATTTTGGAGGTAAAGAAAGTAAGCCCCCCCCCCCAGCAAAATGATTAAATGTATTATGATACATCAGAGCTGTGGAATACAAAAATGGCTGTTAAAAGGGTTGGGGATTTAGCTCAGTGGTGCCACAGCCTCGCAAGCACAAGGTCCTGAGTTCGATCCCTGGCACCAGAGAAAAACCAAAAACAAAAATAGCTATTAAAAACTATGTACAGGGCCGGGGATTTAGCTCAGTGGTTCTGCCGCCTGCCTCGCAAGCACAAGGTCCCAAGTTCGATCCCAGTACCAAACAAAAAAATAAAATAAAAAGTATGTACAGTTCAATAATTGACGAGAAAGATGTTAATGACATTGGGCGGAAAAAACAGGTTATGAGACAGTCTCATTTATGTAAAATTACATAATTATGAAGATAAATGTGTTATCCTGATTATTAACAGTGGTTGGCAATTAGGAGAATATTATAAGTTGATAGTTTATGCTTTTTTATATTATTTGGGCTTTTATGCTGAATAACTTTTTCATGACAGAAAATTACCAAAGATAAATTTTCCTCCCTACCCTCACCCCAAACCCAGTTTAAAAAACAGGAAGCTGGGCCGGGGATTTAGCTCAGTGGTTCCAGCACTTGCCTCGTAAGTGCAAGGGCCGGAGTTCAAGCCCCCATACCAGAAAAGAGAGTCAGGAAGCCACTGACCTGGCAAGACCTCACAACTAATCAAGTTTCACTTTCCTTTTTTTTTTTTGGCGGAACCGGGAATTGAACTTAGGATCTTGTGCTTGCAAGGCAGGCTTGGTGCCACTGAGCTAAATCCCTGGCCCTCACTTTACTTTTTTGCCACTGGCTTTTCTTGCAAATAACTTTTACAAATAGTGCATAAATTTTTGTATGACTTATCAAAAAAATGCTTTTTAATTTAGTTATCTTATTAAGATTTTACAAGTAGCAAATAAAAATATTGTACACTTTTACCTCAGTGACAGAAAGAGAGAGAGTAGTTCTAGAACCCCAGAAAATAACCAAAATCTGAGGATGCTTACTCCCCACCCCATACTGGGGATTGAAACCAGTGCCTTTGCACTGAGCTACATCCCCTGTCTTTTTTTTTTTTTTTTGGTACCAGGGATTGAACTTGGGTCCTTGCGCTTATGCAGCAGGCAGCAAAACCACTGAGCTAAATCCCCGGCCCCCCAGTCTTATATATACTTTTGAGACAGAATCTCACTAAGTTACTAAGCTGCCCAACCTGGGTTCAAACTTGTGATCCTCCTCCTCAGCCTCCCAGAGTGTTGGGATTACTGATATGTGCCACCATGTCCTGCTCTCAAGCCTCATATATGAAGTTGGGTAGTATTTGCATATAAAATGCATATCCACATTCATTTACTTTAAGTCATCTCTAACTTATAATACTTAGCACAGTGCAAATGTTATATACATATTTGTTATACTGTATTGTTTAAGGGAACAATGAAGAGAAAAATAAATGTGTACACATTCAATTACAGATACAATTTTCTTCTCTAGATATTTTCTATCCATAGGATAGTTATGGAATTTATGTTTACAGAGGACCAACTGTACTTGGTATGGTCCATTTCCTGTAATAAATCATCAATAAATACTGATCTGAGTAAATTCTGGTGATTCAGAGTGAAAGAAATTGAAAAACTTATATTGTAAATATTTAATTTGATTTTTTTTTTACTCTTCCATAGATAATAAAATCACAGGTTTATTACTGCCCTTTCTCGATGAGTCTCTTCTTGAAAACCTTGGAGTAAGGTAAGAATGATAAAATTCACACTGTAACCAAACACTCTATTTACCTTTGAGGGACAAAGTCAAAATTCCCTGATATTAACTGTCAGCATTTTAAATTTATGAAGTGTTTTGAAACATAATCCCCTTCATTCTCTTTGTTTTTGCTGTGCAGATGGCTGTGTTTAATATTACTGATGATACCTATTTTATTTTATTTTATTTTATTCTTGGTACTGGGGATCGATCTCGGGACCTTGCACTTGTGAGACAGGCTGCAGATTATTTTATTTTTTTACCTGTATAACTTTTATTTTTGTCAAGCCCAAGTAAGCCTGAATAGTTGACTCCTACTGGTCCCCTGACCATCCCTAGCTTCCCCATCATCACAGCAAGAAGAAACATTTGCTTTCCCTCCATAGTGTGGAGTGGGAGCCCCTAAGATTTGGTGGCTGACTTGTAATGGGTCAAAGTGGAGGCTGAAGGGTTGGTGTCACTGATCCACTTGGGCACCTAGTAGTAGGTCAGCCAGCCGGCCCAGCCTGCGTGGTGGTGTTCACAGATTTGGCGGTAGCAGTAGCCTCTTTAGTTTTCAGAGTATTGAAGGGAAATTTCTGGGCTGCAGCTGCCATCATTGTATCATCAACCTGATGTTGATCAAATTCTTGTAAAATCTTAAACCAAGAATTCTTGACTGAGGTTATTCTGCTGAAGGGCTCTTTTGGTCACCAGAGAATTTCTTTAGTTAGCGAGTTGGAGTCTTCAAATGCCTCTCTCAGGAGCTGTTTTTCCATCCTATTTTTTGGAGTTCTCATTTCTGGTGGTGGAGACAAGTGATAGGAAGAAAATCAGTGATCCAGAAATGAAATTCTCAGTTCAAGGCTGTGGACAGCAGTAGTTTCATCTGCACAGAGAATATCAAACAAATACAGTTCCCTCAGAAGCCTCTGGCTATCTTCTTTGGCCTTTTCTGGAGAAGGAGCCTTTTGGAAATATATGTAGCCCTGCGTCAGTTCATCTGATCCTTCTCCAGAGAAGATCACTACTCAGTCTTATTCTTCCGAATATACTTGAAAACTATATACATACCTACTGATGCTCAAACTGTTATAATGTCGTACGTTTCCAAAGAAAATATGACCTCATCCAAGTCCTGAATGCCTTCCTCAGAGTTATAAAGGACTTCATGATATTCACTTCCAATATGATTTACCACTTTTCTAGCAGCCAGTAAATTAGGGCTGTCTTCCATGCCAATCCGAAATGTCTGGAGAGGATATTGTACTTGGGCCTCTTTTAATTGCTTCAACAGAGTGGCAGCAGCCACGCTGGAGTCCAAGCCCCCTGATGAAAGGCAGCCAATCCTCTATCATCAAACGCTTCTTAATAGCATTGTTAAAAAGGAAACAGAAGATGCCCTTCACAGTTTCTATCTCAAAACCTGGAGTTTCCCCACACTGTCATAGAGAGCATGTGCAGGTTCATCAGTACAGTGCTGATATTTAACCATTTCCACAGATACCACTTTGCCATTTGGCTTTAAATCAAAATTTCATAGTATCCTGGAAGAAAAGGCTCCATTTTTTATTGTTTTTTTGTTTTTTGGTACTGGGGATCGAACTTGGGACCTTGCACTTGTGAGGCAGGCGGCAGAACCACTGAACTAAATTCCCAGCCCTGGCTCCATTTTTTAAAATGGAGTCATGGAATGCTTCAGTGTAACAAGACCTTTAGCTTCTGAAAACACAACCAGAAATCCATCTTCTGTCATGGCTTGAAACAAAGGTCTGACTCCATCGGTATCTCTGCCCAAGGAAACTTTCTGATTGTCAGTGTCCCATAAAATAAACACAGATACTCCATCCAACATGCAAATTGCTCAGCTCCTCCTTTGTCATACAGATGAAGAATTATCTTCCATCTACATTGGTCTGGTATTCAAATTCAGAATATTGTTGCTTCCTCAAAAGCTGTGTTCTCACCACTTTCCTAAAAATAGATCCTTATATTCATCAGTTCTGCAATTGTTCTTTCAGGAAGCTCCCCTGTGGCTGTAGATTTCACCATTGTAACAGAGCCACAAATAAGGCTGTTTCTTCACTTGAATTGGCTGCATTCCAAACAGGATCAACCACTGCCACCTGGTGAAATCCAAAGCACCAGTTGGTGGAGCCAGTTGACATTCTCAAAACAGAATGCATCTGGACTCCTGTGTGCAGTCTTCACAGCACTCAGACACTGCCCTGCAAGGCAGTCGTCACTGCCAGAGAGGGCCCAAATGCCACACATGGTGCAACAAAGCTATGGACTCTTAGGATCTGTGGTCAGCTAGAGGAGGTAGCATCCAGGGCATATTCAGTGTCTCTTGTAGGTTTGCTCTCAAGATACAGATATAAGAGCAAGTGGCTCCGAGCTAACCAATGATCCCACCCCCAACTCTCTCCACCCCAGGACCTCAAAAGTTTGGGAGAAACCCCAGATTAGTGCCATCTCCTTGACAATTAAATGCCCTCTATTTACTTGTACTAACTGTAAGTAGTATACAGAGGGTATAATAGCATATTATATATACTGTTGAGGATAATATTAAGAGATACAGGTCTTATAAGCATTTCACAACTTCTAGCCTACCTCTTATTCAAATGTAACTGAAGAATGAGAAAGATAAATCAATAATCTGATATCAGATCTCCTAACCAAAAAAAACTTTTAAATTGATAGAAGACCCAAAATGTTGACTATCAAAATATCCTAAATGACAAAAATATTCTCAAATATTTCTATCTGCATTGGTCAGTAAGAAACCAAACTAAGCCCGGCATGGTGGCACACACCTATAATCCCAGCACTCGGGAGGCTGAGGCAAGAGGATTGCCGTGAGTTCGAGGCCAGCCTGGTCTACATAGTAAGTTCAGGGCCAGCCTGAACTACAAAGGGAGACCCTGACTCAAAAAACCAAAAAAGGGCCAGGGATTTAGCTCAGTGGTTCCGCCGCCTGCCTCACGAGCACAAGGACCTGAGTTTGATCCCCAGTACCAAAAAAAAAAACAACCCCAAAATAAAAAGAAAACAAACTAAGTTATAAAACAAACAAAACACATAGTGTACAGCTGGGGATTTAGCTCAGTGGCACCTCGCCTGCCTTGCAAGCGCAAGGTCCTGAGTTTGATTCCCCCATGCCTAAACAAAACAAAACAAACAGAAATTTAGTGTATCCTTGTAGGCTAGGAAGCAAATAATTCCTATGTGTTAATTCAGTTTTCAATTTCAAATTATCAACAGTGAAACAAAAGGCTGTTTGATTTATATATCATCAGGTCAAATAGTTATTTTTAAAACATCTGTAACATTGAAAAAAACTACTTTTGTATTTTTTTTTAAATGCAGATCTGGGCCGGGGATTTAGCTCAGTGGTTCCACTACCTGCCTCAAAAGCGCGAGGCCCCAAATTCCATCCCCGGTACCAAAAAAAAAGTATATCTTCGGGGATTTAGCTCCGTGGTGCTGCCGCCTGCCTCGCAAGCGCAAGGTCCTGAGTTTGATCCCGGTACCAAAAAAAAAAAAAGCAGATCTGTAATATAATTTGGGACAAAATATAGATTCAAGTTACATCAATCACTTTGAGCAATCATTTGAGGACATGTCATTTATATCTAAATGAACTATAGCATTAGTTGGCATTTTAGCAAGACCATAAGAAAACAATGAAAATGATATCAACTGAGGCAATTTGGAAATGAAGTGCTTCGTGTCCTATGTAGTTCCTTCCATGCACTTGACTGAACAACCTATAAGGAAAGATTTACTTTGAGATTTAGTGGAAAAATTCATTGAGATTTTCAGACTTGATACTAATTTAAAAGGTGCAGGAAAGTGCTTTGAAAATAAATGGGTATCAATTATCTAAATCTTCTCAACACTGCGTTGAGAACCCTCATATTTATCCTTTTTCTGTGGTTCACCACCTGTCTTTGGAGAGGGGTCTCCTTGCAGGGTTCCCTGGAGAAGTCTGGTAATCTGGGCTCAGGCCAGTGGGCTCCCTGGCCAAGCAGAGGGGCCCGGGCGGGAGGCGGTTTGTCCCCCACTGCCACCACTCTGAGACCTACTTTAAAGAATTTCCCTGAAACCTGGGATTTAGCGCAGTGGTTCCACCACCTGCCCAGCAAGCGCAAGGACCTGAGTTTGATCCCTGGTACCGAAAAAAAAGAAAAAGAATTTTCCTGACAAGCTTTTACAGTCTTTAGTGACGAGCCTTTTACTCTTAAATTCAAAATAACTGAATTATACATGCTAGAAAATTTATAGGAACCAATAGGAAGAAAAATATTGGCAAGAAAATCAGGGCTCCATCCCAATCAAGAACATATTTCTAAGTCTTTCCAAAGCTATTTTAAGACTGGAATATATTCATATAGGTAAAATGTTGAAGCACATGATTAGCCCTTAATAAATTGTATACATAACATAGATATGTAAGACCGAGGGCCTTACCAAACGCTCCGAGGAGCTGAAGTGGAGCACACCCGGGGATCCCAGTGGTGCCTCCAGAACGTAAGACCAAAGGCCTTACCAAACGCTCCAAGGAGCTGGAGTGGAGCACACCCAGGAAGGAACACACCGGCCATGTTGGGAAACAGACCTTTATTAGTCTGGCCAGACGGCACTCCCGAAGCAAAATAGCTCAGAGAGGCACCTGGCTCAGAGTCCGAGGTTGTTTTATAGGGGGTTAAGGGGGGCGGGGGGGTTAACATGTGGATTCACAGAAAAAAGAGAACAAAGGTTAGTTGCTCATTGTCACATGCTGATGTTCAGCAGACATCCTGACTGACAGTTACGACCACCCTGTTTACAGATTGTCCTATAGATACTGGGCCCCGGGACATTTGGATTTAGGGCAAACAGATGGCTGAGTAACCTCGCCCTATTACTGATTGTCCATTGTCCCGAGGCAAACACACTCCAACCATCAAATTTACAACAGAATCTAGGGGAGTAATTAACTTTTGAATCACACAGTCCCACAGATACCTACATATGGGGAGGTTCTAGAATCTAGATTAAAGTGGAGCCACTTTAAAGTTTTCAGTTGAAGATCCAGTGTTTACCTTAAAATGGAGATTTTGTTTCTATTAGGGAATTGGCAACAGTAATAGAATATGATCTAAAATTTCACTTAGTTAAATGTTGTTTGTGGTAACTGTAACTAACGAATCAAAACGAAGGATTATATCAAATTATTTCATATGTTAATGCTTAGAATTTGATAATGCAAGTAGATTTTGAAAAAAGATTACCGCAGAATATTTAACTGACTCTCAGTAAGTGTCTTTTGGACCAGAATCTTCCTCATCTTGGCTCTCATAACCACATTTCAGCCACCTCAGTCCTTTCAAAGTTCCCTTTACTACCTATTTCTTGTGTATAGTAGCTATTTACCATTTGAACTAAAAGGAATTTGTTCTAAGTCTTTCTTTTCAAAGTAACTATACTTCTTTGTGGACCCAAATACTATTGACTCCTGCAGGAAATATTTAGGGAGGGAGGGCTCACGATGTCCTAGGCAGTCCTCCAGGGTCTTGGGGCCCAGGAGTGAACAAGATAGACGGAATTCCAGAATTGAGCACTGTCTAGCTCACCTCTTGTGCCCTGCCATATGCCTCTCAGATGGATTCTTTAGGGCCCCTTGGTCCTTTAGGATCCTGTATGGTAGCTGCTAGCTACATGTTTACATTAATTAAAATTAAATTAAATGAGCAAATTAAAATTCAGTTCCATTATACTAACTGTATTTCAGTTGCTCAAAAGCCGCTTATTACTAGTGGCTACTGTGTTTGTGCTCGCTTCGGCAGCACATATACTAGTGGCTACTGTGTTGAACAGAGCAGGTATAGAACATTCCTATACCTCAGAGGATGCTAGTGGAATCAGCCCTAGTTGCTCACAGTGATACCAATGCAGCCACCTTACTAATGTACCCTTGTAGTGTTTTATTTCTCATTTCTGGTTTTACCCTTCCTAGCCCCCTACTCCTATGCCTAGGGATTCTACCCCAAAACAAATTATCTATATATGAACTCTTGTCTTGGACTCTGCTTCTTACAGGGAATCCAATTTAGATAAGCACTTCTTGTAGTCTTTCAGTTTTATGATTAACTATTGATTTATGAAGATTTTTCTGGAAAATAAACTTTGTTACATTAGATGTATCCATCAAATTGTAAGAAGCTATAGATTTAAAAAATACAGAAATCTTATATTAAAGTATCCTAGCTCATGACTACTTTAAATTTTTATTTGATGTCATAGTTTTTGCTAAAAAACAAAAAACAAGCTGGGCATTGTGGTGCATGCCTGTAATCCCAGCACTCTGGGAGGCCGAGAAGGAGATTGAAAATTTGAGCCTAACCCCTGAGCAATTTAGCAAGACTCTGCCCCAAAATAAAAAATGGGTTGGAGGCCGGGGATTTAGCTCAGTGGCACTGCACCTGCCTCCCAAGTACAAGGTCCTGAGTTCGATCCCCTGTACCAAAAAAAAAAATGGGTTGGGGATGTAAGTCAGTGTGAAGGGCCTGAGTTTAATCCTCAGTACTGTCAAAAAAAAAAATAACAACAAAAATAGGGTTTTGGTAGTTATTTTAATTAGTAATATCCTTGGGAATAGTCTCTTTTTGGGTTTTAATTAAGTGATGAATAATGAATATCAGTTCAGGGAAATATTGAGCAGTAGTGAGGTTAGTTTAGGTTTGGTATTCTAGGCTGTGACTTGCAGATAAACCCTACTGTTGACGGCCCTTAACCTGGCTCAGTTGTAACTCACTGATAAGTAATTCTTGAAGCCTGGCTTTGTGCTGGTCTTGTCATGTTAAAATGAAGAGAGGAGAGGAGCAAAGTAAAACAAAATGTATGCTGGTTTAATTATTTTTTTGTTTGTTTTGTGTTTTTTTTGAGATAGGGTCACACTATGTATGTAGTTCACGCAGGTTTTGAACTCACTATGTAGCCTGGGCCCGCCTTGAACTTGCGAACTTGCAGTGATCCTCCTGCCTCAGCCTCCTGAGTGCTGGGATTCCAAGAGTGTGCCACCATGCCCGGCTGCTTTATTTATTTATTATCTGTAATAATGGCTCTATACATCCAACTCTTAGATTTTGTTATTGCCATAGATCTCAGGTTATATAACGCAGAGGCCAAATGTACTTCTGACTTCAACTATCTAGGACTTTTGAGGGGAAAAAAAAATCTTTCAATCTGATTAGCTCATAGGTCAGTAACAACTAACAACTCTTGCCTGCTGTTTTTGTTGACACTATGCCAGGTGTGAGGCTAATATGCCTGAACTGATGAGTAATTGTAAATAAAGCAGTGTACTAAATTAGCGCTATTCAAATTTAATTCCTATTAAATGCTTTCTCAAGACTGGAGAATTTTGAAGAATTATAGACAAAGGTATAAATAAAGCTAAAACCTTGTATATATTTGATTCATGCTTGAGGCATACATGGTATTCAAAATCAATCCAGGATTGTAAGGGTTGATGTTGACTTCAATTTGGTTAAAATACATTTGAATACAAACCGAGTATGAGTTGAGGTGGAGGAGATGTAAAATCTGAGTTTGCCAAGAAAGAAGAGAATCAAAGACAAAACCCTGGAAACGGCTTCATATGGATTCAGCAGGAGCTTCTCTTAGGAACAAACGAAGGAGGGAGTTTCTAGGAGGAGTATGTTTGAATAATTGATTGTTCCTTCCAATATAACCAACCTCTCAATTAGTATAGAGAACCTAGAGTTGATAACACACTCCTATGTACTCCTAAGATTATTATTAAGCAAATAATGATAAATTTGCTTATCTTGTAATTTTAGTTCCTTGGGGGAGAGGAAGAAACTGCTTAATTATATCCAACGATTGAGTCAAACTCACATTGAGACAATGAAGGTAAGAGGAATCTGAGTTTATCATAATTTAAAAAAAAAAAAAAGTGATATAACTCAATCATGTAAAATTCATTTTAAAAAGAATGGGAGGGGCTGGGGATTTAGCTCAGTGGTTCTGCCACCTGCCTCGCAAGTGCCAAGGTCCCGAGTTCGATCCCCGGTACCATAAATAAATAAATAAATAAAAAGAATGGGAGGAAATATCAGTGATGGGGTTATGGGTAAATGGATCTTTTCTAGACTTTCTGCATTTTCTAAAATGAGTAAGGGATTTAAATCAAGAAAAACCAAAATATGTTTAGGGATAGTGAAGATTATAAGTACACTACTACTCAGCTTATCAAAACTTAACATTTTGCCTAATTTGCTTCAGATCTATTATTTTTATTTATTTATTTATTTTTTGGTACTGGAGATTGAACTCTGGGTCCTTGTGCTTGAGCAGCAGGCAGCGAAACCACTGAGCTAAATCCCTGGCAACTTTTAGAATAAAATATACTATTGAAGGCCTCTTTTATACCTCTCTTGTATTTCTTTTTTCTTTTTTTTTGAACTCAGGACCTTGTGCTTGTCAGGCAGGTGCAGCGTCACTGAGCTACAACCCTGCCCCCACCACCCCGTATTTCTATCTCCCCAGTAATATCACCTTGAATTTGGTGTTTAACATTTTCATTAAGTTTTTGAAGTTTTACTACATATATATGTTTTAGAAAGAAATAAAATAATTTTTTATTTGTATTTGTATTTATTTATTTTTTTGTGGTATCAGGGACCAAACTCAGGACCTTACACTTTCCAAGCAGGTGCAGCGCCACTGAGCCACATCCCGGCCCTAAAGTAAATTTTTTTTCTAAAGTAATTTTTTTTTTTTTTTGGCACCGGGGATTGAACTCAGGTCCTTCTGCTTTCGAGGCAGGCGGCGGAACCACTGAGCTAAATCCCCGGCCCTAAAGTAATTTTTTAATAAAACCAACCATACAACATTTATTGCAATCCAGCAATAACATGAAAATAATCAAAACAATATGAACATATGTTTTACAAATACTCCCAGGGGAAACCACTTAAACAATTAAATTTTTCACATATTATCATAATTGCCATTGCCACCAATTTGTTTCATTGCTGTCTTAATTCTTTGATCATTTCTAGTTGGGGACAGTTTGCAGCCGAGTAATATTATCTTCTTTCAGCATGATCCGACCCAGTTTTGTTTTGTTTTTTTGGTACCAGGCATCGAACTCAGGACCTTGCGCTTACGAGGCAGGCAGCAGAACCACTGAGCTAAACCCCTGGCCCTCTCAGTGTTTTTTTTTTTGTCTTTGTTTTAGAATGAATTTCTTCTGGATCATCTAATACAAGGTTCATGTACTCGTCAAAACCAGTAATACAGCCCTCCATCTGCATATTTACTTTCTCACAGAGCCACATCTAAATTTGGGATTTGTTCTGCAATATCTGAAGATGAGGCTGATGGGCTGCACCATCACCTTCTGCACTTCCTGGCCCCAGCCACGGTTGCCATGGTGGAATCTCACAAAGACCTTTTTTGAGACAAGGTCTCACTGTGAAGTTCAGGCTGGCCTTGAACTCTCGGCAATCCTACTGCCTTAGCCTCTTGAGTGCTGGGATTACAGGTGTGCACCACCATGCTGAGCCAAAATTTTACTACATATTTATATCCATAAATAGATTTAGTATTGATAATCTATCAATATTTGTTTACTCTTTCTCCTCCAGTCCTATTGAGACATCAAAAGCCGTGGTTTGCCCCCAAGTGTAGTGGGACACACCTGTAATCCCAGCTACTGTGAAGGCTGAGGCAGGAGGACTGCAAGTTTGAGACCAGCCTGAGCAACTTCACAAGACACTGTCTCAAAATTAGAAAAATAGGGCTGGGGGTTTAGCTCAGTGGTTCTGGCACGTGCCTCGCAAGCACAAGGTCCCAAGTTTGATCTCCAGTACCAAAAAACAAAAATTAGAAAAATAAAATAACAAGGGCTGGGACTGCATACAGCTCAGCACTAGAGCACTTGCCTAGCATGTGTAAGGCCCTGGATTCAAACCCCAGTGCCTCGCCCAAAAGAAAGCTCTGTTTTTCAGACTTCAGTGTCCCAAGGGATGTTTCACAAACATTCAGCTATCCAAATCCTGTCCCAGAAATTCTGATTTTGGAAATTTATACAGAACTCCTGCAGTGTGCATTTTTTCACAAGCTCTGCAGGATGAGTCTTACCATACTTAAGAAATTGTTTCTTACTTGATTGATGACACCAGGTATATCTTATTCACCCTTTTGACATCCCTGGATTAAAAAAACAAAAACAAAAACAAACAAAAAAGCTTGGTTTAGACCTAGAAGAAGGTGTAGGAATCTCATTTTCCTTTCCCTTGGTTTAGTTGTTGTGCTGATGACAGTAAAGTAATTTAAGGTACAGATTTCATTTTTAGACAGTGACACACTAACATACTTCGAAACTTCAAAATCTGCTTTCAGCAACTGTGGGTGTAAAAAGAATAGTTTTTATTCAGTAATACCGAGAATAAGAATAACAGGATTAATGAACACTGTTCAAACTTTAGTATCAAAACACCTTAATATCACAATATACTGTATATACTATGAATTGGGAACAAAATATGAAATAATGTAGCAATATTTCCAACATCTCAATGCCCACTATGAGGGGAATGGTTTAAAAATGGTTTATTGTCAGCTGGATGTGATGGCACACATTTGTAATCCCAGCACTCAGGAGCCTGAGGTAGGAGGATCACTGTGAGTTTGAGGCCAGCCTGAACTACATAACAAGACCCTATCTCAACAAACAAACAAAAAGTGGCTTATCAATGAAATGGAACCATTAAAATAATAATAAGATATAAAAACATGAGAATGTGTTCACTGTCCATTTGGGTAAGAAAAGGAAAAGAGACTGCATCCATGTATTATATTAACAAAGGTAAAAAATATATTCACTAAGTTTTTATAAAATGGCTTAAATTTATTTCATTTTTAACATATATAGGGTGAAAAAATATTTTAAGAACAGTCATTATAACCAGAAAAATTGATAGTAAAGGCTTTTAGGCCTGATTGAAATAGATTATAGGATTTTTCTTTGAATTTCAAATCATAAAATAGATTCTCATTTGTTCATACTAGTTACACTGATCTTGTTTTGGGGGGAAGGAATAGACCAGTATATGATTTTGAAATGGGTACAGATTATGGAACTTTTTTATCTGATAATATACTCACAGAATTTAATTATGACATTCATGTGCTCCCTTCGGCAGCACATATACTAATTATGACATTCATGGTTCCTTCTATTTCTGAAATACTTTGACATTATTTCTGTATAGATAGAGGGGACCAGGCTTGATGTAGTTGCTAATCATAAAGAAGTAGTTTTACAGAACAGAGTGAAAAAAATGAACACTCATCAAGCCTCAACCTTTATTTCTAATCATTGTTAATATACATAAATATTATTTCACAACATTGTAAATTCTAGTACTTGACTGAAACGGTCAGTATCCAAATTGAATTGAGCTCTTTTTACAGGAAATGAATTCTTCATCACCAACATGTTCAAATGTTGGACCAGATGACACTTAAAGGTTCTTTTTTGAGGTACTGGGGATTGAACCCACCAGGGCATTCACACTGAGCTACATCCCTAATCCTCTTCAAATTTTGAGACAAAGTCTTGTTGAATTGCCCAGCCTGGGCTCAAATTTCAATTCTCCTGACTCAGCCTGCCAGAGTTTTAGGATTATAGGTGTGTGTTACCACACCTAGCTTCCTTTAAACTTCTTTACACTATTGAGCTTTTTCTTTTTCTTTTTCTTTTTTTTTTTTTTATACTGGGGATCGAACTTGGGACCTTGCCCTTGCAAGGCAGGTGGCAGCACCACTGAGCTAAATCCTCAGCCCTACATTATCGAGCTTTTGTATTTCATGTTTTCTCTGTTTCCATGTATTGACATCGTACACTTTAAATATTATAAATAGTCCAGCATGATGACATTTATTACTTTGCAATAACAGCTCAAGAGTAGTTATTTGAGTTTCTGGGGACTGTCAGGTGGTATCGTATGTCATAGGTTCTGAGAATGTAGCAGTCAGTGAGACCAAGAGGATTCATCACCTCCCAGAATTTCATACACTTTTTTTTTTTTTTTTTTTTATTAGTACATTTTAGGTATACAATTCATTTACATTGATCATTGGGTGTTTGTACCTGTACGTGATATATCTACACTGTCCCATGGAAGAAGGCAGAAAGGCAAATAGACGAAGACAAAGAGTAGACTTTTTTTTTTTCTCTCTTTTTTTTTTTTTTTTTTTGGTTTAAGGTGCTGGAGATTGAAGGTAGGGACTTGCTCATACAAAGCATTTGCTTTACCACTTAGCTGTGCACCCAGGTCTTCCACTAAACACTGTTAAGATTCATTTTATGGAACAGTTAAGTACTTTTGAAGATCATGGGTTAGATTGCTTATTAGATTCCCTTTATTGTGTAGCTTTCTTTTTAAAAGATATCACTGTGCTGGACGCATAGTTCAGTGGTAGAGCATATACTAATCATGTGTGAGGGAAAAAAAAGATAGTTATTATGGACAGCTAAGAAAGTTACATCTTAAAGATGCACAGGGGGCATTAAATATTCACCCATTTAAAGCTCCCGTTTGTGGGTTTGAGGTGTCGCTTGGTGGTAGAGCGCTTGCTTTCACATGCGTGAAGCCCTGGGTTCAGTTCCCCAGTGCCACAAAAATGATAAGCAAATACAAAAGCCATTTTTTAAGGTTGAAGTAATGAATAATTGTGAAATGGATCTTTCCTAATTATTTCTCAATGACTACTAAGTGCTACAGAATTTTGTCTTGCTGTGTGTGATTTTTTTTATATGGTCGAGATTTTTGTTTACTTTCTTTTGTAATCTACTTACCTATTTTTTCCTTGTAAGAATTTTAGCTATGGATATATATAGATACATTTAGAAAAAAAATTTGGCATAGTCCCCATAGTAATGACTTACATGATTTTGGTGGGGGAGGCTACCTGGGATTGAATTCAGGACCTTGCACTTTCAAGGCAGTGCCACTGAGCTAAATCTCCGGCCCATGATCTTTATGTTAAATAAGTACAGTTTTGGTTTTGGTTTGATTTTGTGAGTCTGAGCTGCAGCCCCAGGCCAAATGAATGTGTCTAAATACAAGACTAATTAAATGCTAATGAATCATATATATATAAATATATATATATATGATTCATATATATATATGATTGAAATTCTTATCTTTCTGTTATTAGAATTCACTAGGAAAAAGCAAAATAAAATATATCCAAATCCAATATACTTGATCTGTCTGGTAATGATACCTAAATAAGTTAATAATATCAATATCTTGTCCTTTTCCTTAGTTATTATTCTTACTTGAACAATTAATGGGCCCTGACTTTGTACTGTGGTTAGAAATGGCTGCACAAAAACTTTAGATGGAATTCTACATTGTTACTGATACTAATTTAAACATAATTTTCCAGGTAATTAATGATCCTATCCATGGCCATATTGAGCTGCACCCTCTTCTTATGCGAATCATTGACACACCTCAATTTCAGCGGCTTCGATATATTAAACAGTTGGGAGGCGGCTACTATGTTTTTCCAGGAGCTTCACACAATCGATTTGAGCATAGTCTAGGGTAAGAAGGGAAGGGGAACTTGCAGCTTTTAATTACCCTCTGGAGCCAGGTGTGGTGGCGCACACATGTATTCCCAGCTACTTTGAAGACTGAAGTAGAAGGATCACTTTATCCCACCCGTTTGAGATCAACCTGGGCAAAACAGTGAGACCCATCTCAAAAAAAATCCAGTAATTATCTCCTCTGTCTGTCTCAGATGAAATAGTTGTCTCATGTTATCTTCTAGAGACCAGTTTTATAAAATGGTAATATCCTTATTTTATTGTTGAGAAAACTGAGGCTTTTGATTTCCCTGCTTTACAGTGTTTTGTTTATTTTATGTGTGGTTTAAACTATTCATATCTTTCCTGGAAAGGTAATGAAAATATCTATTGGGAGGTGAATTGAATAAAATATTTGTGCCTTTGTATTATTTAAAAGCTAATGATATGTACATTGGGGAAGCATTCATAAGCTTAGAGAAGGTGGCAGGCACCTCTGTTAAATACAGTGAAAGTGAGATGAGACTTTGGTTTCTTTTTCTGTTATAAAGTGTAGAGCCAGGACATGGGCAGGGAAGAACTAGATAATAATCTAGATTTTCATGGAGTACCCACAGTGTGAAGTACTCCGTGTGTGTGTTGTTGTTTTATAATATTTTTAATTAGGCCACATTTATCTATATTCAAATTTTAACAAATATGTATTGAACATCTACTAGAACCCACAAACGAGAGCAACACTCATAGGTCCAGAGTTTCGGGGAGCTGAACCCTCTTGGAGCTCCAAGTTCATGGGAAAAGAAAGATTTTATTCTTTTTAGACATCATGTTCAGAGAGAAGTGCTAAAAATACATTTAATGTTTGTAAAGCATTTTCTTTTCTTTAAGGTGCTAGAGATTAAACCCAGAACCAATACCTCACAAATGCTAAACTAGCTCTCTCCCACTGAGCCACATCCCTACCCCTGTTAAGTACTTTATCTGCACTCTGTATTATAATAGAGATTCCTGCTATTTTAAAAATCGTGGGCCAGGCATTGTGGTACATGCCTATAATCCCAGCACTCAGGTGGCTGAGGCAGGAGGATCGCCATGCCAGTTTGGGCTACATAGTGAGTTCACAGCCAGTCCAAACTACATAGTGAGACCTTGTCTCAAAAAAACAAAAAATAATTTTTAAAAGGTGATAAAACAACAGAACATACCGGGGATTTACCTCAGTGGCACTGCGCCTCCCTCTCAAGCACAAGGTCCTGAGTTTGATCCCTGGTACCAAAAAAGGAAAGAAAAAGAAAACAACAACATATAGTTCCTTAGAATTAAGTACATTTATCCTTTTGCACAATTAATTCATCTTGAAAACTGAAACTATATTCTAGTTAAGCAACTTCCCAGACAGAACTGGAAATATATTCTTTTTTCTTTTCTGGTCCAGGACTTGAACTCGGGACCTTGTGCTTGGAAGGCAGGTGGCAGAACCACTGAGCTAAAACCCCAGCTGAAACTATATTCTAAAGGGGCAAAGGGGAAGGGGAAGTCAGAGAGGTAGGGGAAAGGAAAGAAGGGAATGGAATTAATATGAGAAAATGAAAAAAAGAAAACAAAGTCTTTGTAAATAGGGAGGGATGGAGGGGTTGAAGGGAGGGCAGGGGAAGGGGGAAAAAATAAGAACCGAGAGTATGTAAAGGTGCAAATTTCCAATGATGAATGTCATTATATTGTACACCTAAAATGTACCAATAAAAAGATATACCAAAAAAAAAAGAAAGAAACTATATTCTAATTAAGCAACTTCCCAGCCAGAACTGAAACTATATGCTAGTTAAACAACTTCCCACCCAGGCGTGGTGGTACATACAATCCCAGCACTCAGGAGGCTGAGGCAGGAGGATCACTGAGCTCAAGCCAGCCTGGGCTACATAGTAAGTTCAAGACTAGCCTGAACAGGGACTGGGGATTTAGCTCAGTGGTTCTACTGCCCGCCTTGCAAGCGCAAGGTCCAGAGTTTGATCCCAGGTACCAAAAAAAAAAAAAAAAAAAGACTAGCCTGAACTAATAGTGAAACTTAGTCTCAAAAAACCCCAATTAAACAACAACTTCCCATGTGCTTCTGCCAGCTCCCGGTAACCATAGTTGTACTTGCTGTCTGTATGAATTTGATTACCCCTAAGTACCTCATCTTAGTGAAACTGAACAACATTTATCTTTTTGTGACTGACTTATTTCACTTAGCATAATGTGCTTTTTTTTTTTAGCATGTTTTTAAGTTTATCCATATCATAGCATGTCAGAATTCCTTTTTTTTTAATGGGGTCTCAAACTCCTGAGCTACAGTGATATTCCTGCCTCAGCTTCATGCCACTCCACCCTTAAATCTTCAGCCTCTATTTGCATGCTGGAGGTGTAGCTCAGTGGTAGAGCACTTGCTTTCATGTACATGAGGCCCTGGATTCAGTTCCCCAGTGCCACAAGAGAAATGATAAGCAAGTTAAAACGCCAGTGTTTAAGCTTAAAGTAATGAATAATTATGAAATTTATCTTTTCTAAGCATTTCTAAGTGGCTGCTAAGTGCTGTAGAGTTTTGTCTTCTTGTGTGTGATTTTATCTATATTGTAGAGGGGGTTTTTTTTGTTTTGTTTTGTTTTTTTAGTTTGATTTTTTTTCTGGCACCAGGGTCTGAACTCAGGACCTTGCACTTGTGAGGCAGGTGGCAGAACCACTGAGCTAAATCCCCGGCCCATAGAGGGTTTTTATTTTGTTTATCCCAGCTGGAATTTTTTTTTTTTTTTTGGTACTGGGGATCGAACTCAGGTCCTTGCACTTGGGAAGCAGGATTCGGAACCATTGAGCTAAATCCCCGGCCCTCCCAGCTGGAATTTCATTTTGTTTTGTTTGAAACAGGGTCTCACTATGTAGTCCAGGTTGGCCTCAAACTCATAGCGATCCTCCTGCCTCACCCTCTCGAGTGCTGGGATTACAGGCATGTACCACTATGCCCAGCTTCTGATCTTTTTAAAGCTGAGTAATATTCCATTGTACAAATATGTTTATTCCACATTTAGTTTATCCGTTCACTTGTTGATAGACACTTAGGTTGTTTTCACCTCCCAGCTATTGTGGATATAGTGCTATTATGTTCAGATATTTCAAGATCCCACTCAGTTCTTTTAGGTATATACCCAGTAGTGAAATTGCTGAGTCTTATGCTTATTCTCTTTTTAATTAAAAAAAATTTTTTGATGAACCCCCATACTGTTTTCCACAGCAACTACACCATCATACATTCCTATATACAGTGCACAAGGGTTCCAGTTTCTCCACATCCTAGCCGACATATGAACTATTTTCTGTTTTTATGATAGTGGCCAACCTAATGGGTGTAAGGAGATGTCTCATTGTGGCTTTGATTTGCATTTCCATAATGATTGGTGACTTTGAGGCAGAGGTCCTGCTTTGGGGGTTCTGTTTCTTTTCCTTTTTTTTTTTTTTTTTGTACCGGGGATTGAACTTGGGACCTTGCTCTTTCAAGGCAAGTGCTGGAACCACTGAGCTAAATCCCCAGCCCTGGGATTCTGTTTCTAAAATAGTCTATTTTGTAAAGTTACCCTAAGATATACTAGTATGTTTGCAAAATATATTGAAGTTCTTGAGTTCCAGAAATATGTCAAATAGAAGAATGACTTCTCTCTCTCCTCCTCCCCTCCCTCTCTCTGTCTCTCTCCTTCCTCCCCTCCCTCCTCCTTCCCTTCAGGGTAGGGTATCTAGCAGGATGTCTAGTACGTGAACTGTGTGAAAAACAACCAGAACTGCAGATAAGTGAGCGAGATGTGCTCTGTGTTCAGATTGCCGGGCTTTGTCATGATCTTGGTAAGCTGTATGAAGAATCGAACTGGTTATTTAAAATCTTAAAAATTAGACTAAGAGAAATATGAAAGTCATATTTTAAATTTTTCAATTGACATTAATATAAAATATGCTAGTGCTTCTTCCTAGAATGATTCATAAACACAAAACATTGCTGTTTTATTTTCTTGTAGTCTTTCAGTGAATTCCCCATGTTAAACATGTTTGCTACAGGTATATGCAAGCCTTTCTAAGAAGGTATGGTGGGGCATCCCTGTAATCCTAGCTCTTTGGGAGACTGAGGAAGGAGAATCGCAAGTTCAGGTCTTGACAGGCAATTTATCAATGCCCTATCTCAAAATAAAAAGAACTAGGCGTGTAGCTCAGTATGAAGACTCCAGGTTCAATCCCCAGTTAAAAAAGCCTTTCTGGTGATGAATTTTTCTTACTACTGTGTTTAGGATGATACGGATTTAATTTTTGTTTTATCTTTCTAGTGACTAAAATTGCCATTGTTCCTTTAGTTATTTTGTCAAATCCATTCTTCTCATACCCAGAACAAATTTAGAGACCTTCTTTTCTTCCCTAATCCATATGAGGTCAGGGTCCACTAAAATCTAAGAATATCTGCCCTTTTCTTTGACCAAGAAAAAGAAAAGGGACTGTCCTTAACCTCTTCAATCACAGGGGAGATTGTGTATGCCTGTGTTTCAATAATAGCTACATACATTAAGGGGACAGAGCATTCTTTTTATGTCCCCCTGGAGATTTCAGTAGGACCAGTACCACTGCTTAGAAGATGGAGGTATTTATTTATTTTTGAAGTTGAGGATTGAATCCAGGGCCTCACACATACAAAGCACCATTCTACCACTTGAGCTACATGCCTAGACCTAAATAATTTTTTTTTCATTGTGGTTCATGGGCTGAACCTAGGGAACAGTTAGCACTCCCAGCCCCTTAAAAAAATTTTTTTTTTAATTTTGAGGAAGGGTCTTGTTAAGTTGCCCAGATTGGCCTGAAATTTGTAATCCTCTTGCCTCAGCCTCGAATAACTAGGATCAGAAGTGTGTGTCATCACACTTGGCACAGATTTTGGTTTTTGGTTTTTTGTGGGGGTTTTTTGTTTTGTTTTTGGAGTTTCTGGTGTGTGAACCCAGGCCTTGTGCATACTAGGCAAGCACTATGCTACTGCACTACATCCCCAGTCCTTGGCATTGATTTTATTATGAAAAACAACAACAAAATATTCTCAGCCTTCCTTTTAGTTAACAAACTGTCCTTTTATCTTACCCTGTTTTAGAAAACAGGAAGGTAGAATTTGTCCCATTTTGTGATTGATCAGTTATTAGTTTCTGTTGATATTTAAATGAAACTAAAAAGATTTCTTAAAGAATCAAGTTTTACCAATGTATAAAACTTTTTCTTGTTTTAAGGCTGCTTTTGTTTTTAAGGTCATGGGCCATTTTCTCATATGTTTGATGGAAGATTTATCCCACTCGCTCGACCAGAGGTGAAATGGACGGTATGTGTTTGTACGATCAATAGTCAATAAAAAGGAAGACCATTTAAATTACCTGTTTGGCTCCTGGCTGTGCTACAATATCCTTTCATTTCAGAGTGCTTTCATTCATGTGTATGTGTGTTTTCTATTGATCCTCACAATAGTCAATAACGAATCATGATATCACTTTATAAAGAAAAGGAATTTGAAACTTTCAGGAGTATATTGATGTGTCAAAAATCACAAAGACATTGGGCCAGTGATTTAGTTTAGTGATACCGTGCCTGCCTTGCAGCGCAAGGTCCTGAGTTCGATCCCTGGTACCGAAAAAAAAAAGTCACAAAGATATTAAGTGGTAGAACCACTATTAGAAGCCAGGTCTTCTAGTTGTCAAGTTACTGTTTTTTATATTCTAGTTCACAACTGTTAAAAAGAAATATAAAGCCAAATTGTTTCCATTCGTTTGCTATGACCACTTAAGTAACTGATACCAGACCATCAAATGAGCCATTTTATAGTTAGGCATTTGCAGGTGGCTGACCTATTTTTGGAATCAGTTTTTGAGAAGTTATGCTTACCACTACCCCCAAGTTTCTACCATACTGTATTTCTGGAACCTGGAGTAGAAAGGGCTATTAATGCATATTAAAAGCTTCTAACATGTCAACCACTATTTTTTCTTTCTTTTTTCTTTTTCTCTTTGAGGTATAATTCACATGCAATAAATTGTAAAGTTCTTAAGTGAGTATTGGTAAGTGTTTATATCCAGTCAGGACGTAGAATATTTTCATCTTTTTGGAAAATTCACTTCTGCACCTCACTTGTGTGTTTGGGGTGGGTTTTCCAGGGATGGCACCCAAGGCCTGGTACATGGTAAGGACATGCTGTAGTGCTGAGCTGCATCCCCAGCCCGTCCTTTATTCCCCTTTTCACCGGTTATTACTCCTCTCCCCACCACCACCACCTTCTGATTTTCAAGAACATACCTTCGTTTTGTCCGTTCTCAGATTTGATATAAGTAGAATCAGATAGTAGTTATACTTTTATGTCTTAACTACTCAACATCATATTTTTAAGATTTGTTCATATTGAATCTATCAGAAATGGATCTCTTTTTCATTGCTGAAGTAGTACTCCAGTGTGTGAATAAGTAACAAATTTTTTTTTTTGGTACCGGGGATCAAACTTGGGTCCTTGCACTTGCGCAGAAGGCAGCGAAACCACTGGGCTAAATCCCGGACCCAATAACAATTTTTTTATCCTTTCTCCTTTTGACTGAATTTGGGTTATTTACAGGCTTGAGCTATTACATATAAGGTTACATTGGACATTATTGTGTAAGAATTTTTAGAACTATGTTTTCATTTGTCTTAGGTAAATACCTAGGAATAGAATTACTGGGTCATATGGTAGATGCATGTTTAACCCTATAAGAAATTACCATTTTTTTCCAATGTAGTTATGCTATTTTATACTCCCACCAGCAATGTGTAAAGTTCCACTTGTTCTGTAGCCTCACCAATATTTCATCTTTTTTTTTAATTTATTTTTTGCTGAGTTGCATATTGAACCCAGGCCCTTGCACATGGTAGGCAGGTGCTCTACAGCTGAGATGCACACCAACCCCAACATTTCAAATCTTTTAGATTAGCACTTCTGAGTGTCAAATGGTATCTCAGGGTTTAATTTACATTCTCTAATGTATATTGAATACCATTTCTTGTTATTTGTACTTTATACTGTTATTGATATATCTTTTTGGTGAAAATTTTGTTACTATGTGATGAATCCAGCGGATTGATTCCAGTCTCTGTGTACTATGAGCAGTGAATTGCAAAGCATACATCCAATGGTAAAGGAAAAGCAGCTACATTTATTTTTTTTTTTTAACTTGAACTTTTCATAACTCAAGGGATTCCCTGAAAGATTACCTGCAGATGGAACATTTCATGGACAGATTTTTTTCTCTCCTTCCAAATTCAGTTCCTCATCACAAAAGAACAAAGTATAAAACCAGCCTCAATCCTGGCTGCTGCATTTGGGTGGGCATTTCTTCCCATTCCTACCATTGCTCCCCCGCCATCCTATACTCTGGGGAGGAGGGGAGCTGTTGTATCTCCTGCTCTTCTCCAGAAATTACAAAAATGTAGCTTTTCAAGGGAGATAGGAAGGAAGGAGGCAGGACGGAAAAGAGCCAGGGAAGACCCAATCTGTAAGAGCAGTATGCTGCTAGTCATTTGTTCCAGAAGTGCTTTAGTGTGATTATCCTGGTGACTCTAATGAAAGCGTGTCGTACTTACGTGGAGATGTTGAAAATCTACATTTATTAAAGATCATGGGATGATGTGCTCAGGGAAGGTCCAGCATGTGCAGAAAAGTGTCAGGGGCCACAGGGAAATGGAAAGTACAGCACAGCACACAGACAAATCAGGCTTTTGGATTTTTCTTTTTTCTTTGTTTTTTTTGGTACCGGGGCTTGAACTCAGGTCCTTGCACTTGTGCAGCAGGTGGTGAAACCACTGAGCTAAATTCCCGGCCCTATTTTAATTTTTTTTTTTTTTTTTTTTTTTTTTGGTACCTGGGATCAAACTCGGGACTTTGTGCTAACGAGGCAGGCACCGGAACCGCTGAGCTAAATCCCTGGCCCTGGCTTTTGGATTTTTAAAGGAAGTGTTTCCACCCCAAGTGCCTCTATGGAAGATTGACAGAAGCCAAGCCAGATTTTTTCAGTGAGCATGGATGTGCCAGAATTCAATCTGATTAAATCATGAACATGAGGTGCAGTCCATATTTATAAACCATTAATAAGGTTTTAGCAAGGAAAAGGTTACTGAAAGTTGGGCTAGGAGATCTAATGGACATGTGCTGCAGCCTGGGACTTTGAGGATTTCTTGGGTCTTTGTTATTTCATTTTCTGCCTCTCTTAAAACAATGGAAAGTCCCAGACTGGTGGCACATGCCTATAATCCCAGCACTCAAAAGGCTGAGGCAGGAGGAACGCAGTGAGTTTGAGGCCAGCCTGAGCTACATAGTGAGTTCAAGGGCAAACTGAACTACATGGGGAAAAAAAATGGAAGGAGGATTGTGTCTAGGGTGCTGGCCAAACTCAAGTGTGTGGGGGGGTTCTGCCAGCTCCCATTGTACTACCTGTACTAATTTCTTTCAATATTTTATCCATTTAAAATTTTTTATTTGGGGCTAAGGTATGGCTTATTGGTAGATCATGCATCTAACAATAGTGTAGCTATGGACTAATCCCCAGCAGTGAAGGAAGATAGAGGAGGGAGAAATAATTTGATTTTTTTTCCTTACTGATTTGTGTGTGTATATATATATATATTTACAGATGTGTATTATAAGTATTTTCTCCTAGTGTTAGGCTTGTCAATATTTCTTTTCTTTTACAATATTGGGGATTGAACCCAGGGCCTTCACACTGAGTTGCTAGCCAGCCCTTTTTGGTTTTTATTATGAGATAGGGCCTTGCCAAGAAACTATTGCCCAGGCTGAACTCAAACTTGAAATCCTCCTGCCTCAGTCTCCAAGAATGCTGGGATCACACATGTAATTTATAATTGTTTTCTCTAGCAGGGCTGATTTAGGAGGCTCTAAGGTCTTTTTCTTTAAATATTTTACATTTAAGAACTTAGCTCGTGGGGAATTAATTTTTGTGTATGTGAATAGTAAAACTAATTTTTCTCTTTTTAATATGGATAATTGTTTTTTATTTTTAAATTTGGTTTGTTTGTTTTGTGCTACTGAGGCAGGAGGTAGCTAAGGAAAAGGCTGGAGAAAGAAAGGAAGGCCAACCCACCTTGGAGCCCACTTGCTAGACTAGATCTTCCTTCAGAATTAAATATTGGAACAGGACCAGGATGTCCAGATCTAAATACAGTAGAGAAAGTTAACCAGGAAATTTAGCGTCTGTACAATAAGTGCCCCACCCAGTGGTCTTCTGCAACCCTTGGCTCACCCCAACCCTAATTACAGTCTCATTGACTATGCAGATTTGATCCTCTGTGGGCTCTGGGGACCACGAAAGTTCCTGTGAGGGTCATAAAAGGCCAAAAACTCACCACCCACTGGAGGAGCTGAGTCTGCTTTCATTTTTATCCTTCAATTTTTTTTCCTTTAAATCTCTTTTCCCTCCCCCTGTTATAGACAGTGGAAATATTTTAGGCAGTCAGACAGTGGTAGGCCCTCGAGGGAGTCTGTGCAGAAGATGAGAAAATGTTACAAGTGGGCCTGGAGGCGCATATGTGGGCCAGGCCTCAAGATAAAGAAAATGACTAGGCCTACATGCCTCCCTGAGGGATAAGCAACAAATTGAAGATCATACTATAATTGGTATCACCTGGTCCAATAAAATCTAGATAGACATCAGTCACCCAAGTGGGTGACCAGGACCTCCCGACCCATCACTTAAAAAGTCCTTGTTCTTTCCATGTGCACTTGCTACATCACCTACTTCCCCATTGGATCAACATTACCTAAGCGGCTATACTTGTTATCCTGTTGATTGATCATAGTTTTGACCCACATTGTACCCACCTCTTGATTTTGCTTTATAAAACTTCCTCTGTGAAGTGAGGTCTGGGGCAACCCACTTTTGGGTCCCCTCCTGTCTCTCAGGAGCTCCATTTCTCAATAAATTTTTCCTACTCTCAACCTCTGTTGTTCCTTAGAATCCACTCTTTGATTTGGGGAAACATGAACTCAGCATATCTGACATCTAGCAGGTTGGGAGTTACATTTATTTCCTCTATATCCTCTCTTGTTCCCCTTCCCATTTGAACAACTTCTCTGATTCAATTTTTTAATGTTTGATTTTTACATAACTTCATTCAGAAAAGTTGAATTTTCACAGAAAAAAGCCTTCAATCTAGATTTACCAAAATGTTAATGTTTTGCTGTGTTTTCTTTTGGGGTTTTTTTTGGGGGGGGGTTGGTACCAGGGATTGAACTCAGGTCCTTGTGCTTGCAAGCCAGGCAGCGGAACCACTGAGCTACATCCCTGGCCCGCTGTGTTTTCTTTTAAACGTGCTCTTTTTTTTTTTTTTTTGGTACTGGGGATTAAACTCGCGACCTTGCACCTGCAAGGCAGGTGCAGTGCCACTGAGCTAAATCCCCAGCCCAAGCATGCTCTGTTTTTACAAATTGTGTATAATTTTTTTCTGAACCATTTGAAAATAAGCTGTACACATACCTTTTTTTTTTTTTTGAGACAGGATCCTGCTGTTGCCCAGGCTGCCTGGTACTCCTGGGTTCAAGTGATCCTCCTGTCTTAGCCTCCCGAGTAGCTGAGCCATCAGGCATGCACCACCACACCCTGCTATATTTAAAAATATTTTTTTAAGATATTGAGAGGGCTGGGGATTTAGGTCAGTGGTTTCACCACCTGCTGTGCAAGTGCAAGGACCCAAGTTCGATCCCCGGTACCAAAAAAAAAAAAAGATATTGACATTTTTATTCTCAAGTATTTTCACTAGGCATTTCCTAAAAATAAGAATATAACCTCTGCACAATTATCAAAATCAGGAAATTAGTACTGATGCAGTACTGTCATCCAATTTATAGACTTACTTTCTAATTTCACCAAGTGACCATGTTAGAAAAGGGGAAAAAACTTTATTTTCCTAGTGTAGGATTCAGTGTATATTATATTTTGTTGCCATTTGTCTTTTCTTTTGATCTGGGACAGTTCTTAAATTTTTTTTTTTTTTTGGTACCGGGGATCGAACTCTGGACCTTGTGCTTGCAAGGCAGGTGCTGGAACCACTGAGCTAAATCCCCGGCCCCTATTCTTAAGTTTTTATCTTTCATGACCTTGTCATTTTCTTTCGGTTTTTCGTTTTGTTTTGTTTTTTTTGGTACCAGGGATCGAACTCTGGTCCTTGTGCTTGCAGGGCAGGCAGCGGAACCACTGAGCTAAATCCCCGGCCCCTTGTCATTTTCTTAAGAGCAGGCGAGCTATTTTGTGGAATGTCCCTCAATTTGAGTTTTAGTTGATCTAATATTACCATAGCCAGATTTGGTATTTCTGGCAGAACGCCACAGAAGTGATGTATCCTTCTTAGTGTAGCACATGGAGAGGTATGTAAAATCTCTTTGAGCCATTACTTGTGATACTAAGTTTGATCACTTGATTAGGGAATATCTGCCAAATTTCTGTAATGTTACCATTTAACTCTTTGTAGGTAAATTAATATATATCTTGATTCAATTTTTAAAAGTAATTATAGGACCATTTAAGTTTTGCTTTTCACCTTGAGTTCATTTTGGTAAGACCTGGAATAGGACTGGTGTCTCCAGGAGGTCATTTGATGTTTACAGTGATTGTGGATTAGTGAACAAAGAAATGAGCCAATTGAGGCTGATTTGAGACTTCAGTCTAGTTTTTTGTTTTGGTTTGGTTTTGGATTTTGAGACCGGGTCTTGCTATGTAGTCCCGACTGGCCTTGAACTTGCTAGGTAGATATGTGCCACTATGCCTGGCTCTCAACCTGGAGATCTTAATTTCAGAGTCTAATTTTACTGACAAGGTTGAATTTACCTCTGTTTGCCGCTAGGTGGAAGCACTAACAGCTTTTAGCTTCACATGTTCCAACACTGATGAAAAAATAGAACTGAGTTCTTACAGTGATATTCATTAAAATGGGATTCTGCCTGTATGACCATGGCTTATAGAAGTTTTGTAGACAAAATATTGACAAATTCAGCAGGTTTTTAAAATTACAAAACTGTAGTTAGCAACCAGGTAGTTAATGTGCAGTAGAACATGCAGTAGTTGTATCAGTTACCTAGAACAAGAATAATTTGTATAGTTGGGGTCCCGGATAGACTAGAGTCTCTAACAGGCCATATTCTGATTTTTCCAGCATGAACAGGGGTCAGTTCAGATGTTTGAGTATTTAGTTAATTCTAACGGTCTCAGAGCTATCATGGAACGCTATGGTCTAATCCCTGAGGAAGATATTTGTTTTATCAAGGAACAAATTGCAGGACCACTTGAATCACCGGTCAAAGATTTTTCGGTAAGTTTGTACTATATTCAATTTAATTTGAACTGACTGATGCTCTTCTCTAGTCTGTTTCCTCTAATTATTTCACAGCTACACATTTGGCTGTTTTATAGGGGCTAATGACAAAATAAAAGTTTTACCCTCTAATCCAAAAGATGAAAGGTTTATATTTTTTGTGCCTTTTAGCTTAGTTCTTTAGAAGTTACTCTTAGAGGGCCGGGGATTTAGCTCAGTGGTGCTGTGCCTGCCTCACAAGCACAAGGTCCTGAGTTTGATCCCCGGTACCAAAAAAAAGAAAAAAAGAAGTTATTCTTAAATTTCAAATATTTACAAATCT